CACCCTTTGAAATAGTTAATTGACGCCCTTGGCCCTCGCAAAAACATATTTTAATTGTGCGCATCACGGGCGGCCTTGCTTAATATAAATGCAAATCGAGTGGTAAATAAATTAGTTGTAATGGAATGGCAAGAATTGTTTACTTAACGTCGTTTAATGGAAAAAACAATGGTTGTGTAAAATTCAAATTTTTTCCATTTTATAGACCTGCTGAAACTTTTTGCTTATTTTCTTCAAAGCAATCTCTTTTAGCTCCGGGATATTTGAATTGAATGCAATAAAAAGCAACATTTTGAAATTCCGGCTACTTTAAGTTATTTATTAGGAAAATTACGCTAGCAAATGCTTGTCTAAATTAATTTCATAACATAATGTTTGTTTCCTGCCAGCATTTGATTGATAGCCACATTTCAGTTTTTGTTCATCACCGAGACACTCCATTTTCTTCGAAACAAAAGGAGATAATTTGTGCCATGAATTAAAAAATGTTTGGCCAAGTGAAATTTTACGCTTCGGAATTGCGATTTTGCTGATTATTTTTCACAAGTTATTGCGAAAAATCTCATATTTCCAATTACTGAAACGCAAACCACCATTCGTGGAAATTTAAAACTTGCTAATTAATATAAAACAGAGCTTTTCATATTCGAGGTTTAATTTTTTTTCCTTGAATATTTTCCGTTCCGGTTGTATTTATCTTATGTTTCTCAATTGCTTACATTTTTTTATTGCATGCGCGGCTGCGTATTTAGGGAGGAATCCGATCTTTGATTTATTTTATCCCGGCGCATCCACCATTTTTACAATTATTTTTTAATAAACTAGTATGAATATTGTGCTTTATTACTCGCGAACAATATTTTTTCACGTGAAAAAATGAGGGAAACCGACATAAATATGTAAATTAGTTTTATGAGCATCGCAGCGCAAAATTAGCCCAGAGATATTTTTCTTTAATATTTTTAAACCTCATTTAAACCGCGACTCATGACTAATGTTCACCATTATTTTCCGCTATAAGCTCATTTTCTTTGTTGATAATTAATAGCAACATTTTTTATACGCAAAGGGTAATTCATAAAATGTTTACATTAGAAACTAAAACTATTTTTTACTGAATGAAAAAAAAACTAAACACAATAGTAGATTTTTATCAAAATTAATCAATGTAGTCTGTGATTTGGTAATTAAGTTGGCAATCTTGTTTAATTTAAAGACATAACAAGTTTTTCTTATAACGCGTGATCCATCCAGAACATCCAGAGCACTTTAGGTTTTTGTTTAAACATGAAAATTGAGTTGGCAACATTGAATTATTGATGTTATTAAATTGTTTCGAGTGACAGGCAAGCTGAAATAAATGACAATTGACTATAAAATTCTGACTTTTAAGTTTGACAGAGAGTGTTGCCAAATTAAGATTTCATGACCTACTTGACCAGTTATTTAATTTTGTCTCTGCCACGTTGCCAATTAGTTTCAAAGTCACAGGTCACTTTGATCACAAGTTTAATTAAATGCAAGGAAAATGTAGTTTCAGGTTGTTTTTTTTTTATAAAGGCTGGTAATGAGTTTAATTATTATCGTTCCTGTTTATTTATTATCAAACCACTTCTTTGTATGAATGCACTTGCCATAAATTCTAGGGCAATTAATTATTATCAAGTTTACCAAGAGTGGGTTTTATTTACACGAAGGTGAGAGCATTATTCATGCGAGTTTGCCATTTTTCGCGTAATAATCTCCCAAATATGCACTAAATCTGTCATGTTTATTCTTTGTTTGGTGAATTATGCACTAGCACAATAAATTTTGTTTTTTTTTGAAAAGCAAAACGAGTTAAAATAGACTAAATTGTTGATGAAATTTGTTTTTAATAACATTGGGTTGGTACTAATTGCTCCGAACTAAAGAGAAAATTTGTCGATAGACATTTGGAATTTTTCCTCCGGTTTTTGCGATTTTTTTCCCCCGTCTGCATGTTTTACAACACTGAGAGCGCAAAGCCATTAGGGGAAAAAGTCAACGAACCGCTGACATTTCGCCGTAAGCTGAGACATTGTGGTTTTAGCCCAGACATGCCCTTGATTACATGGCCTAGCGTCGCTATTAATTAAAAATGAAATAAATTAAAGGCGGAAGAAAGTGCCAAGGCGAGAAAGGCTGCTGTTAATCGAATTATCGGAATGTACCTAACAAAGGCAATTTGTGGATTATCTTGGATTGTGGCCGAGTTTCTCTCTTTCCAAGAGCCAACTTTTAGTGGGAGATAATTAGGTTTCCGTATTCTCTGCGAGATGTATAGGGTGATAGTGGCCACTGACGACCACATCTGCATAAATTTAATCAAATTTCGGCGCAGTGATTCTGTTTAATTAGTTTCTTACTACCTGCGGTTAATAACCATCAACTTTGATTAAATTTTAAACAAAAGTCGCAAATGTTTTATTTAATTTAGTTGGCAACAATGAATAATATAAAGACAAGTTGGCAACACTGTTGTTGCGGTGACGGTTATGCTATCGGCTGTCCCCTGGACTTGAATGACAATTGACAATTAAATTGTGATGCTTGAATTTGACGGTCAATGTTGCCAAACTAAGATATCTAATTAGAAGAAATAAACAAAAATTTTGAATGTTGCCACCTTAATTTTAAAGGTAGAGTCTCAATTTTAATTTAGTTGGCAACAATGAATAATACCGATTTGTCAACAAGAAAATACCACCTAGAATTTGAACTTTTACGAAAATTATTTTTTTATGTTGTTTGTAACTAGAATTTTCAGAAGGAATTTTGAATTGGTTACGACGGTTGACGTTGTCTGTCAACCGGCTGTCAATTATCAATTGAGTTATTTATAAGCTGACAGGTGACAACCTAAATTCTTGACACTAGTTACGATATATTTTGTTTGTCACCACAAACCAACCTAAACAAAGTTATGACAACCTATTCAGGAATATCCCTAAATCCTAGGAAGTAATGTTTTGTTGATACGATAATATGAAGATAAGTTGGCAACACTGAATGTTATTGCAGTGACGATTGTGATAGCGGCTGTTCCCTGGACACGAATGACAATTGACTATTAAATTGTGACGTTTGAATTTGACAGTCAATGTTGCCAAACTAAGATATCTGATTAGAATGATTACCAATAATTCAGCAGTGCCAATAGATTTTTTGTCACAAACATTGATAGTCACCGGATATCTCTACATTTTTCAATGTTGCCAACTATTTGACAGTTATTGTTGTCAAATTAAGATACAGGTTGTTTCAAAATTCGCGCACTTTCTTAAAAAGGAGTAATGGGTAGTCTCCCAGAGTGTTGAAAAAATGTTAAAAAATTCTGTCAAAAAATTTTGACATATATTTTTTGACGTTTGAGATATTTTTATGTTTAATGATAATGATGATGTTTTAATATTTAATGATACTGATAATCTTGTATATGTTTTTTTTATAATTATTTAGTAAAAGTAAAAAAAAATTGTCAATAAAAGCCATAAATAACACTAAACAGAGTTACAATTTAAGATACACCTTCGTTGGTTCTTCTTGGAAACTTGGAAAATTATTTTTCCAATAGAAATAAATAGAGTCAAAGTACAAAAGACTTTCATTACTTTGAAATTTTTATAGATAGTTTTTTACAGTGTCACGATTTTCCAGACACCCTGTATTTTATTATTTGTCAACTCCTGTTTCAACAATGCCTTAATTTTAATGTCAGAGGCTTCTTTGATCAAGAAAAATTTAATTATGAATAAATTTTAAACAAAAGTTTAAAATGTTTATGTTCAGTTGGCAACAATGAATAATATAAATATAGGTTTTCAACACTAAATGTTATTGCGGTGACGGCTGTACTAGCGGCTGTTTCTTGGACATAAAAGACAATTAACTATTAAAGTGTAATGATTGAATTTGACAGTCAATGTTGCCAAAATAAGATATTTGATAAGAAGGATTACAGTCTATTTTTTTATTTGCTGGTGACATTTGACAGCTTCTGACATTTTGTACTAAAGTCAAAAGTTAAAGCCATTGCTCGGCATTAGAATTTTTCTTACGATTGTTATGATGATATAGAGTATAGAGGGTCTAAATATTAGCATCAAAACATTTTTTTTATTAAAATTTAAATTCAAAGGACCTACTTGACGCTAAGATACACTTTTGACGTACGTCACTAGCTCTGTGTTACTTTAATCGTATTTGTTAAAGTGAGATGAATAGCTAGACCGACCTTATGGAAATACGTAGCGAGAGAGCAACAGACTGTTTACAAATGTTGAAAAGAGATAGCAATCTGGTACGTTTTTCGAATTGTTAATTGATCCACACGCATAAATAAAAAAAACGGTGTTTACCAATTATTTAGCGTTGCTAATCGATTTTTTTGTCACAAACATTAATAGTCATCTGATATCTTTACATTTTTCAATGTTGCCAACTATTTGACAGTCATTGTTGCCAAATTAAGATATTTGATTAGTTGCCAACTTCTGTCTACGTGTTTCAATGTTGCCAACTTAATTTCAAAGTCAGAGGCAACTTTGATCAGGAAAAATTTAATTAAGCCCAGAAATTAGCTTCTAAGACCCAAACGGCTGTTGTAAATTGCTTTTAAAGTAAAATTCCCAACCTTAGCTAATATTCTGTCACTCGGCTTACCGAATATGATTTACGACGTCATCACCACCTTGGATGCTGTAAATCTTAGATTAGAGCTATTATTAACATATTATTAAAGCGTTTCTCCCTTGATAAACGCTACTAAATTTTAAATTGTGCATTTCGCCCCCGAGAATGTTATTAGCGCTCTCCCCCATCAAGGTATTGTTTAATTCATGGTGGTTGTGTCCACGCGCGTTATTTGCAAAGATATCGAGCACGGAGATGATGCACCTCGATTCTGCACCCCTTGCAGGAGGGCCGCGCGCATCCCTCTCGCATGGCAGCAGGACTCGCAGGAATAGTCAGTGTGTGGCCGTCGAACGGGACTCGTCCCATGTGTGTGATGGTGTTCTGATAGCATGGGGCAGCTATGAGCAGTGCCCCGATTGTATGGTGCTGGACCGCGCTCTTCTTCTCATCGGGTGAGTCCATCCGAGACACCCCTTGGGGTTTTCACACAATTTTCCCGGTTTTTTTTGGGACCTGGTGTCAAAATGAGTGAAACAAAGCCGGCTTGACGGAGAATTTAATATCACTCGCGACGATATTTTACCTGATGGAATTTCAGGTGGTCGGGGATTAATTGCAGGCAAAATGCCGGCACATTGAACTTTGGGAATTTTAATTAAGGAATTTCTAGGGAGTTTGGAGAAAAATTGTCATTTTTTTGCGTCTTTGACAAGGCTATTAACGAACTCGTTTGGGTGCGTTAATAGCTTTCTAGTGTGCGTTAACAGTCTAGTGTATTTTTTGTTTTTAATGTTGGTGACAAGGGAGTTGGAAGTAAATTGCTTCCAGTAAACTTACCCGAATTTTCAGTGAAAACATAAAAAAATAAAAGTTTCTAAATCGGTTGTTTCTCCACTCGCCGCTACGCAGCTCGTTTTGGAATTTCAAATTCTTATGTAGCTCGTGGTTTAATATACTATTTCATCTGGAGAAATTGTTTTGATTTCATTTTTGAGATGCAAAGTAATTGAAATTTTTTACACTTTTCTGAAAATCGATGTCTTTGAAACAACAAAAAAAATTAAATTTTTTGAAACTTTCTTATGTTTAAAAACTAGGAAATAAAATTAAAAACAATTAATTTTTCCTTCAACCGTATTTTTAGCTGAGATACCTTGTATGTTATCTGATTGTTTTTGTTTTTATCTGTCAAGGTTTAAAATATTCAAAGCGAAACTATTTAAATACGTGGCAAAACATAGATTGGATAACAGGATACGCTACGAAAAATAAAATTTAAAATTGTTTTCACACAAAATAGTTATTGACGTCATAAGATGCGATTGAAAATTGTAAAATCAAGGCGAAAACCGAGATTTTATAATTAAGCGGTTGTATTTGTTTCTTAATCACATTTTGTTTTTTTCAATATAAATAATAACATAATATTGTAATACTGTTGCAATGATTGTTTAAAAAGTAGAAACACGCTTTATAAATTTAATAATTAAAAATAAAATTAAAATTGTTATTAAGCTAATTAATTTAATTAAAATATTGTACTTAAAAATGTTAATAAAGACTAATTTATGGTAAGCTGTTAAAAAATAACAACCGTGGCTGTTTTGACCCACATATCGATTGGGCACAGAGTTTTGATAAAGCAGATTAAACAATAGGGTAATATGAAAGGCCATAATTCAAAACAAATTGTGTTGAAAGTTTATTAATTATAAATTTGATGTTAACAATTACGTTATCTTTTGTTTGCCATCGTGTCAATATTTTATAAAGTGTTTTGCTCAAAAAAATATTTTATTTTTTGTTCTGTTATTAGATTTTTAACCATTTTTTATTTGAAAATTAATTTTACTTTTTAATAATATTTTTAAAATACTATTGTTATATTATCTTGTCGTAACAAAGGTTAAATTTTTTAATTTTTTTTTATTTATGTTAGGGAGCGGAAAAATTATGAAATTATCTTGTTAAAACTGAATGTATTTTGTTTTTTGTCAAAAATGCTCAAACTGGTCATTTTTTTTAAATACACAATTTTATATTTGATATAAAATTT